ACTCATTAAATAGACAATTCATTCATTAAGATAAATTAAAAACAGATAAAACATAATTCAAAAACACTTTAAAAAACAATCAAACAATTTTTTTTTGATAAATCAGAGTAGTTAAAGAGAAAAGGCGAACCTAAGGCATGGTGCTGTTACTGTCAGTTGTCTCTAAGGCAATAAGTGGACCGTGAGGAACCTTCCTAATTTGCCACTCATTATTTCGTTTGCGATTTCCGGCAAGACCAAAGCAAAACAAACAAATATACAAGGAGAAAATACAGAAATTAAAAATATATGAAATAGAGGTCTAGGAGGTCCTAAAATCTAATTATTCCCATTTTTTGTGGAAGATGTCAGGTACTGGTACACTGTCAGCTATTGGTTCATTTACCCTTACCAAATTATTATGTTTAGGTACTTGTTTGAGGGACAATTTAACGTTATATGATGTCTTAAAGATTATGTTTTTCGCCTCGTTGCCGTTTAGGAGTTATAGGAGAATAACAAAGAAATATTCTTTAAATCAGTCGCAAGTTTTTAAAGCAGCAGGGTTTGGAATGGCAGACACGGTTTATTTTACATATAATTATATACACTTTTGTAATTTAAATACAAAGCTTCGCCTGCGATGAAGTTAATTTTTGGGCGCCGGCTCCATGGTCTCTCCTCTTCTTGCCTTCATATCATTTTGACTGACCAGTTTCTTTTAGCAGTTCTTTGTCGTCTTTCTCTTCCATGAGTTAAGGTTCTTATCCCAGAATACTTTGGTTATCGCGCAGAGCAACTTTTCTTTCGAATCTCTCGATTCTGCTTTCTAGAGTGCCTGAATTTCGCAACCGTATAACAGAACTGGCTAGCACGACGTAATATACCCTTAATTTTGAATTTTTGGAATTTCATTACCCTTGAGAGCAAGAAGAAAGCTCATTTGGCGTACTTTATTCACTATTTTTTATCTATTAGTTGATCATTTAATTAAGGCTATTGAGAGGCTGAGGCATTTTAATCTGTCTATTTTCAGAGATGACTTACTATGTAGTTCCTATGGTTAAAAATAGATTTTTCGGTTATTGTATATTTTGTTTTATCTTCATTTGCTTGTAGCCCGATTAGTTCTTGAGTGATCCAAATCCAAGAGAGTTTTTCAAATCCTCATGAGGGCTTCCGAAGACGGGATGTATCATACGTGTATGTTAGAATTTTATGCTTCATTCCGACATGTACCGCTCTACCTCCAGGGCTAAGTAAACATTCTCGGCGAGAGTCCATCTCCCTGCCTCAAACCTCTTCCAATTTCAAAAGTTTAATATTCTTCCCCATGTATAACGACTCTACATTTTAGATCATTTGTATCTGCTTTCGACTTTCTCACTAACTTCTCGGAAACACCCAGCACATTCATGATCTTCCGAAGACAGTCTCTGTCTACGGAATCATGGTCTGGTTAAAGTCGACAAATAAGGTTTGTACATCCTGATCAACTTCCCATCGTTTCTCGAGTACCTATTGTGGGGCGAAGGTCTGGTCTAGCCATTATTTAGTATTTATCTTGTAGCCAACCGGAACCAAAGCTAGCCTCTTTAATTACCACATTTGTATATGGAATCCTTCTTAAGGACAGAGACGGAATTAGGCCTGTTTCTATGCCTCTGGTATCCGTTCTGCCTCCCATATCTTCTCGATTAGTTCTAACATCATAGTTCTTGGGTGTTCTCCTCCATCCATAAACATCTCTGACGATAGGTCGTTGATCCTAGAACCTTAGTTATTTAAAGCCTACCGATAGATATTTCCCAATTAACAATATCCAGATTTTTAATCCTTAGTGGGTCGAACTCCTCCATTTAGTCCATGTATTCTTATTTTACGGACGGCCCTTGCTTGAGAAGTTACTGGAAATATTCTTTCTAGATGCTTAAGATCTTTCTTTTGATTCCATATATATTTATATCATGAGATATGAACCCCAGACTAATACCAGGCCCCGGTCAACGGTCATGGTGCTCCTGAGTTTGGTTTTAGATGATACTGCGTGCAGCTGTAAACTCGTATTTTTGTCGCTGTATGTTATCGGGAAATTATGTTTTTTTAAGTTATAGTTAGTTAGCTAACTTCTCTTGTAAGAGACCAAACTAATTATTATTTTATATTGTCGATATTGTTATCCATGTTCCCTTATTCAATTCCTCCTAAATGATTAATTATAACTTGACTTTTATAATAAATATACATTATGTTATGTTAAATATGTACGTTATAATAAAGAACATAATTGTTTAATTGCTTTTGTCTAATTGTGCCCACTACTAAATTATATTGTATTTTGCAGTTATTCTAACTTGTTTCACTGGTGACAAGATGTAGAGACCTGGTTGACCAGAAACATGTGCATTTCAAGCTAGCATGAATGACGATGAAAAGAAAACTACCATGATGAAAACTGAAACGAGACCAGAATTAGCGGCGCATATCACCGTATAAAAGTGTTCATAAAAAAATGGAAAAAAAAGCTTTTCGATGCATCTATCAATCAGTTTCACGTCTTATAATGGACCAAGCAGATGTCAAATAATTATTCCTAGCTCTGCCATGCCGCTTATAACCCTAACACATATTCCAAGAAGAGGATGAGAGTAATACAAAAAAGAAGACGCAAGCCCTAGCGGCTTATGCAAAAAAGAAGCCAACGTGGAGTGGCACAGACCTAACAGACTAAGTATTAAGCCAACATTTGGAGAAATAGTGGACTAGTTGAGGGATTTGGCAGAATCAGTTAGTATGCCCCCAGTAACACCACAGCTAAAACCACCTTAGATCACTGAGTGATAAAAAAAAAAGGTACGATGACCTACGTTCCTACACTTAAGCGGAAAACCATGCGTTCACGAACTCCGACAGCTTGGGTTAATAAAATGAAATTCAAAATAGAAACAGCTTTTGTGACATCTGAGGAAATTATAAAAGGGACAAAATCAGATTGTTACGGCTTTCGCCAAGGACTCCGTTTCCTAATTCGGTCTTCTTTAAGGAGAGAGGAGGAGAGTAATGTAACGGCACATAGAGAAGCTATCGACAGCCGTAAGAACTTCTTCGACACTATTGCAGGGATGGGAAAATCCCAAAGTGAATACTGAGTCCCAAGAATTTAACTCAACTTTGACCTCCCCGCTTCTGATTATGGTACTCAGATATTCAACTTTCCCGAATCTGAGTATTTTACTTAAATGTTGAACTACCCAACTTTGATCATTTTCTTCAAATAGTTCCTGCGCCACTTTGAGTACTACTTTGTTTACTCACGACCTATTATAAATTATAGTTTAAAGTACCAGATACTTATAACCTAAATATATAAATTATATTAATAGATGTGTCATTATTCTAATTACATAAATATAGTTAAATATAATCTTTTAATTGTTTAACTCACTACTCATAACAAATTTTGGATTTCTTTTTTAATAATATCGATATTACGATCCCGTTATAAGTATACATTTATTTAAAAATATTCATATACAATATTATAATATGTTTTAAAGACTTGATTTTTAAAAAATAATATTCATTTTGAGATTAAACCACTGCGTTTTGACATATTTCAGTTTTTCGGATTTCTTTCATATAAGGGTCTATTTCTATGTTTTCGGAGCCGTTGTTTTTTTAATTGATCTCCATTTTGAGATTACAACAATGCGTTTTACATAGTTGAGTTTTTCGGATTTCTTCCATATCAGGGTTTATTTCTATGTTTTCAGAGCCGTAGTTTTTTTAATTGATCCATTTTGAGATTACGATGCGTTATTGTTAAACGATTAAACTGCGTTATGACTTATTTGAGTTTTTCGGATTTCATCCATATCAGCGTGTATTTATATGTTTTTGGAGCCGTAGTTTTTGAAAATGATGTCCATTTTGAGATTAAGCAACTGTGTTTAGACTTATTTGAGTTTTTCGCATTTCTTTTATATGAGGGTCTATTTATATGTTTTCGGAGCCGTAGTTTTTCAAATGGTGTCCATTTTATGTTTACGCCACTGCGTTTCGACGTAATACTGTTTTTCAGATATTTGTTTAATACAGTTAGATCATCATTTTTATTGGAAAAGAAGGTAAAGATCTCAAGGTCATTCGACAATGCCACATTCGTGATCTCGTATATTCTGATAAAAAAAAAAATCTTTTACGTTTAACATTTGTTGCAGGGATTCATAAATGTTATCCCATCTAGATTAAACCGATCTTTATGTAAGAAAGAACACGTATTTAAACTATTTTAGAAATATTTTTAAAGTACATAACAAGGTTTATATAAATTTAAAACTATATTCGACGGGAAATTAAGAGCGGTTGTCTCACGAATATCAATGTCTGTAAATTGATACAATCAATTTACATTTTAAAATCAAAAGATACAATAGAAATTACAAACAAAAAAATGTGTAATAATAAATTTTATTAATTTTAAAAATGTGAACTAACATAAACTTATAAAAAGGACAGAATATTTGATTATTTTTTACGTATTTTTAGCATTAATTTTCAATATTTTAGTGTTTGATCACGATAATCTATTGCTGTTTATGATCAGTGGTGATGATCTATGGATGTTTTACTTTATAATGAATTTTTATGTTACTTTATTTTGGATAAATTTCAATTTGAATGAACTAATCGAAATTGACTTCATATTAATTAATATTGACTTGCCATAACCCTGAAGGTGAGTTTAGACATTTCACAAACTACGAGGAACACAATTATCTAACTTAACTAACAGCTACATTTTTGCTATAATATAATATTTATTTTATTTCTTTTGATACCGTCAGAAGAGGAAAAATATCAAAAACAAGAAACAAAAATACTAACATAGTGAATGAAATAACTATTTACACATTTGTTTGTCCCATAGTTTGTGGAACGTCGTTAAGCAGCTTAATTTTATCTTGATTGTGCATTCTGTCCTGCAACCATTTCCTGCGTCAGACCTCTTTGGCGGAAAGATTACAGCGGAGGCGGTGTTTATTTGAATTGACTCCACTTGACATATTGGTCTGTGTTGTTGTTATTTAAATTAATTGAAATGCAGTCGCCGAGGGCGAAGAGTGTCTTCTCTGGGCGCACTCAGGAGCCCATATCAGACCGAGAGAAGCTCATCTCTATGGGATTTGAGCCCAACAGAGTGTAAGGGTTGAAGTCTATTCTGTTGTATTTTTAAAAATTTGGAATTTGCTCTTTAATTAATAGTTTTGTTAATGAATTGAGCATGTAGTAGTTGATTAGTCTTCATAATCAGTGGATTGTGCATTAAATGGCAGTTCTTTCATTACCTGTAAAATTCGCTTGTTTCATGTTTTTAATTTTTAAGGTTGAAAATCAATTAAAAGATACTTATTAAACAAACTATTAAGTGCTTGCAGTAATAAATTTATGAAATAATATAATTATATTGGTTCACATTGCTAATTATCACTTCTACATCCATGTATCAAATTCATTATCTATTGAATGCAAGGCATTTGCAAAACTCTTTAGATCCATCCAGTGAAATTGTTAGGAATGAGCATAAATATGTATTAAGTGATATTCTGAGCAAGCATCAGGTGGTGCTGATTTAATAAGTATGTTGAAGTTATAATCGAATCATTTTAGGAAACAAATGACTTTTAAGTTGTCAGAACTCTTTTCATTGTAGAATTTCTTATTTTTTATCGAATGCATTAATCACTGGCAAGATATTGTCGAGAAAATATTTGTTTTTGGTATAGTGTATGACAAACTAGTTTCCTGATACTTTCAAATGCATTTTCTTATTTTAATATTTCATTGTGATCTAGTCACCGCTGAAATAATGTTTCTTTCGATAATTTTCTTTTAATGACATACTACTGCATAGTGGTTCAAGATCGCATGGTTACACTATAAAAGAAATCCTGAGAATGGCTTAGTGTGTTGTAAAGTAAATGTAGGTGACAGAACCGTCTGGTAGTACTCATTTTGCTTAAATAAACAACATAAAATGAAATACTAAGTACTTTAAGGAAGCCATCATACATTCCTAAAATAAAAAAATGGCCATAATACATCTCCCCCCCTATGAAGTGTAAAATAGCAAGAAATCATCCTTCTGGTTTGGTTTTTATTAAATATACCTTTTTAATTTGCCACTCCAAGATTTCATTAAAACCAAGTTTCATCATGTTATGTAAATAAGAGTTTGGCAGTACTCGGTTGCTGCCTTACCAGAACTTAGCAACAACTTTAGATTGAAATGTGAAAAAAGTAGGAATCAGTTTAGACAGATTTAGACTTTTTTCTGACAGTTAATACTTGTAGGTGCAAAAAAAAAAAAAAGTTGATGTCTCAATTTCTGTGCTGAATTTCTCTGAGCTACATGTCCCTCCTATTTTAACCTGCTTATAAAATTTGGTTAGTTAATTTTTAAACTTTTGTAACTGGTGCCATAAAGAAAGTATAATATTTGTCCAGGTAACCCTAAAACATTGTTTATAACTGGCTACACAGATGACAGGCAGATTTTTTTTATATAATCGCCTTGAAAGTTTTTGTGGATCTGTTGAATACAAAAAAATTTCACTTTATGAAATAAATTTTAAATTACCTAATCTCTAAACTAGAAGTAGAATGTTCGCATAAATATTATTTCCTCGTTTTACTTCTTTTTTCAGTGACTTCGTGATTTGAAGGGCTTTTACTGACTAATAAACTAATTAATATGGCCAAACCATTTTATTTAGGTTGTTATACCCTATAAAAATGTTTGTGTTTCGGTCTCTTGTTTTGGCTCAAATGTCTGAATTTAAAAGTAGAAATGGATAAGTTATTCAATAAATTATAGCGATTTGAAATGCCTTGACTAGTGTCTAATCAAGGTAATGAAAATATATCAATGAACCATTGATAAATTTATCAACCATTAATTCTCAAATAAAGGATAATAATCTTATATTTTTTACTGAAAAACTCTTATTGTATAATTAAGAACTATTGATCTTGATATTTTTTTGGTTTTTACTTCACAGATCCAAGGCGTTAGCTGCAACAGGCTTCAAAGGTGTATCACTAGCCACAGATTGGTTATTCAATCATGCTGGAGATCCTAATATAGACCGACAATATAGTCGAGAATACTATATTTATGGTATTCCCACAGGTGAACTTGCAGCATGTCTAAATGAATTTTGGAATACCTCTAAACAAATATGTTCATGGAATGGAGGTCATGATCATTTCCCTCATCTCACATTAGGGCCACCATTTAAAGTGAGCATTATGTTTTAAACCTATAATTGATTTGATGCTTTGAAATTAACACCTTTGACTACCAACTATGAGATAACTTGTAGTTTTTGATATTGCTTATGACACCAACTACAAGTTATCTCACATAATTACAAGTTATAACTTGTAATATAATTAGAGTTTATACTATAATGCAATATGATTAAATTTCAATTTTTTTCACTGGAATTTTGAAAAGTACCATGGTTGTCAATTTATTAAATTCTTTTGTTTTTTCTGAACTTAAATTTAGTTTTCCAAAATTCTTTTTCCGAAGCCCAATGGTTATCACTATCAGTATCATCCTAAAGCTTACGATATGTCTCGAGGATGTTAAAAGGTTGAAAGGATATGTATATTTACAGGTCATCTACATATAAATGATACTGGGAGTAGCAGATTAAATGTGATAGATCATTTATATAAGTGGAAAATAAGACTGGTTAGAGGGAAGATTCATGAGGAATACTTTGAGTAAGAAGTAGAGAAGATATGGGAAGTTTTTTGAGAATAAAGAGTGTTTGGGAGTAGAGAGATAAGAAGGAGTACCACTTGCTTAAAACTCTATTAGATTAGGAAATGCATAGTTGTAGAATTGTATGTTTTTGTTGATTCATAGAGGAATAAAGACCTTGAGTAATGTTTATCAAGCTGATTGTTTGGAATAACCAGAAAGGAAACCTGATTGGAAAGAATTAAGGAGTAAATTTTTCTGAAGAAAGGTGAGCTGAAAATGAAATAATCTTTTCGGATACTTTGATAAATTTGATTGACTGGAAATTGGCCAAATGTTGGTAGTTGTAGAAGTAGAATGAACTCAATTCAGTGGGTTGAGTGTACATGAACTATTTTCCAGGCTGTGGGAAAAGTGGATTTCTGAAGGGAAAAATTGTACATGTGTGGAAGGGAAAGAAGGAAGGATATTGGAAGACAGAGTTTAGTCATTTTTACTGTAATTTGGCTTTGATTATATTACATTCGTGAAATAGTAAGGACCGAATTCATCCATACTTCATTCGGGATTTGAGTATGGATGCGATTAAGTCATCAGCTATCAAGTGAAATTAAAAGAAACAATATAGATTAAATAGAGCTTGAGGAATGGAAAGGGGGTGGAGGTAAGCAGAAAAGAGATTTAGTTGTCAAATGAAAATGGGTAACCAGTACAAGGTGTGGAGTTAGTAACAGAGAATCCCTTTAGGATTATTCTCTTAGATTTAAGATCTTGAGCTTCAGAAAGAATAATATGAAAATACTATACTGTGGCACCACCCAAGGTGGACTGGGTGTGTTTTCAAAGGTACTTGTAAGTGGTATAATGATTAGAAATTTGGGTATATCTAAAATGTCTCCATCACCTTTTCTCTTCATTAGTTCTTAAAGTTCTGAATTAATCCAGGGAGCTGAGGAGCATTGGAAGGCAAAGGTGATTAGGAAATGTGAGGAGTTTAGATGAGAAATATTCCACTATTTAATCAATAGAGTGGAAGGAATAGATGAGTTCTAAATTGGAGTCGAATATAGAATAAATTGTTTAATAGATTAAATGGTCAAGATTTGTTCAGAATTGTTTACAGACGAAGATAGGAATATTATAGGATATTGGAATAAAAAAGTTTAAGAGGTCTTCCTTCCCTTTGAAGTTATTTTGAAGATTTAGCATAATTGTTGGTGTTTACACTTATTATACTATGGTTTATCTCAGAAATTATAACATTGATATATAATAATTATAATTATTTCTACTGATCTTGTTATGTTGTCGTTTTAGTAATTAATAATTGTATGTTATGTTTTTTTCAGAAACTATCGATGTTGATTGTTTTAATTTTAAATTTTTCTGTTATTGATTAATCAATTACTATTTTTTTTTTTTCAGATTCCAGATACCAAAGCTGAAGAAGTCATTGTTAAAATCAAAGAATCTTTAAATGTTTCTGATTTGAGCTTTCTTTCAAATATCAAATTGGAGAAATATATTTCTCTTAATTATATTGGACTTTTTCTGTCTAATGAAAGTTGTAGGTTTTTAAAAAACCTTGCTAATAATTTAATCAACATTCTTGCTGATGAAGGTAATTATTAGTGAAATGTACAAATAATTATTAACATCATAGTGGATAATAATGGACTGTAGGGGATATTTAGAAAGAAAATATTTGGTTGGTTTGTTCGGTAAATGAAAGACTAAAGTAAAAATAAATAAATTATATTTATTTTTTTCAACATGTCAATGTTAGAAGCCTGGGACGAGAAGAGAATTCCTACAAAATGGGAGTATGTCATAGTTCGTATACACAAAAAAAGGCAGTCAGGCAGAATGCTCCAAATGCAGACCTATATATCTATCCCTAGTGGTAATATACAAATTGTATACATCTACACCTTGAAAATAGACTGAAACCTCTGGTGGAGCTGCTCGTAAAAGAGGAACAAGCTGGTTTCAGACCAGGACAACAACCACAGGATCACATATTCTCTCTCAGAAATGTACTCCAAAAATTCTGGGATCGCGATAAAAATATGTACCTTACTTTTCTTGACCTTCGGATGCTGTTTTGTCCCAAGGAATGAAATATGGGAAGATCTGAGAGCTAAGAATGTCCCCAGAAACCTGGTAGATGCCATTAAGTCCACAACCAAGACCCAAAAGGAGTAGTTAGGCTAACTGACAGGAGTTTGGGTATTTTAACATAGCAAGGAGGGCCAAACAAGGTGACAGACTTAGCCCCTTACTATTCCTACTGTATATGGGGATGAGATAGCAGCAATCTGCAAAAGTCAAACTGACAAGATGTTCCTGGAGTGGAGAAATTTGCTTCCCATGGTGATCCAGCAATATGCAGATAATATTGTCCTCATTGCAGATCCCAAAGAGAAGCTATAGCAGACGGTGACAGAATTGTAGAAAGAGCTCGGTAGAAAAGGAATGGCTATCAAAAGTAAAATCATTCAACTTACAAAAGTAAAATCATTCAATGTTCGGTAATGGAGAGTATGAACTATTATACACGTTTGTGGGCTTTAATTTATGAGCCTCAGCACTTGCTGCTACAGATGGTGCTGATGTTTCTATTGTTGGCATTTGTCCAACAATCTTTAAACGAACAAGTGTGTTTGATTATTTCTCATTTATTTTTCTTATCCACCTCACTAGGCTTTTTCTCTTTACTCTTTTCCATGTCTATACCACTATTTTGTTTTTATTGTTGCATTTACTCGTGTCTTATTCTCTTAATTTACATAACTTAATTATTTCAATTAATTTATATGTAGAGGATATGTTTCAGTAGATTTCAGTGCATCTTATTATTTTCTATTTATTTTTATTATTTTCTTTCTATAACTTATTTTTCATTTTCTTTGTTTTTCATTATTATTCTATGCTTATATCACTTCCTCTGAACATATAAGGACATTAACTTAAAGCAACTATGTCATCCTATTTATTTCACTTTTACTGCTTACGATCTGTATCTCTTAATATTCCATTTCATTTCTTTGTTATCTAAATTTTCATTTCTTTATTTTTGTTTTTTTATCACTTTGTTTATTTCATCACTCTAGCTACATATTATTACTATTACTGTCTACTGTTTTCTTAATATTTATGTTATCTTTTCTTTGCTTAGCCCTGATGATGGCCTAAAACTTAGGTCAAAACACCAGCACAAAGGACAAAAATAATTATAATTAATTTATATTTACTTTTTTATTTCATTGTCTGATCATCCCAACCAACTTCTCTTAAATAAATTATTAACATCCTATTATCTTTGACTTAGTACCTAAATGGTTATATATCCTATTTTAAATATATTCTTGTATATTTAGGTAAAAGTAACCTAGATTTAAGCTTTAAACAGACTTGACTTAAGAAGTTAAATCAGGATGGATTTAGATTATTTTTCATATGAGGGTGTATTTTTATGTTTCCGGAGCCGTAGATTTTGAAAATGACCTCCATTTTAAGATTACGCCACTGCGTTTCGACTTATTTAAGTTTTTTGGATTTATTCGATATGAGGGTGTATTTTTATGTTTCCGGAGCTGTAGATTTTGAAAATGACCTCCATTTTATGATTAGCCGCTGCGTTTTGACTTATTTAAGTTTTTCGATATTCTTCAATATTAAGGTCTACTTTTATGTTTCCGGAGCCGTAGATTTTGAAAATGACCTCCATTTTATGATTAGGCCACCGCGTTTCGACTTATTTGAGTTTTTCGGATATTTTTCATATGAGGGTGTATTTTTATGTTTCCGGAGCTGTAGATTTTGAAAATGACCTCCATTTTAAGATTACGCCACTGCGTTTCGACTTATTTGAGTTTTTTGGATATTTTTCGATGTAAGGGTGTATTTTTATGTTTCCGGAGCTGTAGATTTTGAAAATGACCTCCATTTTATGATTACGCCACTGCGTTTTGACTTATTTAAGTTTTTGAATTTATCCAATATTAAGGTCTACTTTTATGTTTCTTGAGCCGTAGATTTTGAAAATGACCTCCATTTCATGATCACGCCATTGCATTTTGACTTATTTAAGTTTTTAGAATTTATCCAATTTAAAGGTCTACTTTTATGTTTTCGGAACCGTGGATTCTGAAAATGACCTCTATTTTATGATTACGCCACTGCGTTTCAACTTATTTAAGTTTTTAGAATTTAACAAGTATAAAGGTCTAATTTTATGTTTCTGGAGCAGTAGATTTCCCCCATTTTGTAAATGACCCAATTTCAAGTTTATGCCACTGTTTTGGATTATAAAAGTTTTTTTTTTTACTTTTTCGGTATAAGGATCTACTTATATGATATCGGAGACGTATTGAAATTTTTCTAATCTTTAATATTTAAATTTATCTAATATTAAGCTCCATTTTATGATTAAGCCGCTGTATCTCGATTAATTAGGCTTCATTTTGGATTTTTTCAATACAAAGTTTCACCAATATGTTTTCGAGTATGAATAAATAAATAAATATTATGGAGCTAAAGTTAAATTAACCACAGAATACAAACTAAAAAGCTGAAAAGCAACTGGTAATAAATTTAACCTACCGTATTCAGATTTTTCAGCTAATTGTTCGAAATCTTATAATTTTGTGACAGGATACCACAACAATAAAAAAGATAACTAAAATTAAATTAAAAATGAGACAATACATATTTTATTTATTTTGATTAGATATTTTTATTTATTTATTGAAAAATAAATTAATCCTTCGTATTTTGTTTTTTATTCGAAGGAAAAATCAAAACACTTAAAAAACGAAACACAGTGGCCTAATCTTAAAATGTAAGTCGTTTTAAAAACTAAGGCTCCGGCATCATAAAAGTAGACCTTTAAATTGGATAAATTCGAAAAACTTGAATAAGCCGAAACGCAGTGGCGTAATCTTAAAATGGAGGTCATTTTCAAAATCTACGACTCCGGAAACATAAGAATACACTCTTTTATGATAAAAATTCGAAACACTTAAAGAAATCGAAATGCGGTGGCCTAATCTTAAAATGGAGGTCGTTTTCAAAATCTACGGCTCCGGAAACATAAGAATACATCCTCATATGAAAAAAATCCGAAAAACTCAAAGAAATCGAAATGCGGTGGCCTAATCTTAAAATGGAGGGCGTTTTCAAAATCTACGGCTCCGGAAACATAAGAATACATCCTCATATGAAAAAAAATCCGAAAAACTCAAATAAGTCAAAACGCGGTGCCCTAATCTTAAAATGGAGGTCGTTTTCAAAATCTACGGCTCCGGAAACATAAAAGTAGACCTTTATATTGGATAAATTCTAAAAACTTAAATAAGTCAAAACACAGTGGTGTAAACATAATATGGATGTCATTTTCAAAATTTACTGATCGGGAAACATAAAAATACACCCTTATATCGAATAAGTCAAAAAAACTTAATTGATTCGAAACGCAGTCACGTAATCTTAAAATGGAGGTTATTTTCAAAACTAGGTACAGGACAGCATAATACTAGTCCCTAATAAATCCGAATAGGTACAATAAATCGATATCCGTAAGTGAAAATTCTACTTAGGAGAGCATAATAATAGACTTTCATATTGGAGGAGGGGAGGGGATGGCCATTATTTTAAAAAAATATATAAAATTTACAAAAAATTAAAACATTAATTTGAAATGAAAACGGTTGAATTTGAATTGGAAAAGGTTTAATTTGAAATGGAAATGGTTGAATTTGACTTGGAAAAGTTATTGATTGGAAAGGTTGAATTTGACTTGGAAATAATTGAATATGACATAGAAATATCACACTGAAAAAATCTAAAATGTTAAAATAAATGGATATTCAACCGCGTTATCAACATTTTTTTTGTATTTTTCAAAAGCTATGCATTCGATAATATAGTAAGTGGCCTTCATTTCGAAAATTGACAAAAATTCGAAAGTTGGATTTGAAATGGAAAAGGTTGAATTTGACTTGGAAAAGGTTGAATTTGAAATGGAAAAGGTTTAATTTGACTTGGAAAAGGTTGAATTTGATTTGGAAAAGGTTGAAATTGACTTGGAAATGGTATATATATTTCATTACGTGTTTGTATATTTGATTTTAGATGATATAAGGCATTTTGGTCCTTAATTGATATTTCTGTTGTATTTTATGTAAGAACATAAAACACATTTCAATTTTGATATCATCATATTTTAGTTACTATATATTCTGTAGGTATTGAAATAGAGAAGCCAGATAAACCAATGCATTTGACATTAGCATATAAATTTAATGCTGATGATTTCGAAAAGTTGAAAACCCTGGTGGAAATGATTAATATTGATCTTTCTTGTCATTGGAAGATTGAAATGTATTCCCGTGATCCATTATTTTCTTCCTGCAAAGTAAGTATAACTTAATAAATCAATAATTATGCTATAGATTCACATCAACGGAATTAATTTTTTTTATTATACCTTAAGATATATATTTTTATTTAACGGAGTTAAGTAATATTTTACAAATTTTGTAATGATATAGGTTTATAAATCTTTACATACACTGAGAGCAACGACCTCCAATCAGTTAGAGATACAAAAAGAGGATTTCATATACATTGATCAAGAAAAGTTTGTTGATCCCTCCATGGATCATTGGATTGAGGGAACATCTTGGCTCTCAGGTTTATCAGGACAGGTCCCATCAAAGCATCTTATGAGGACAGCAACTACAGCAGTCTGGACTTGTTATAAGTATGAAATTATTTTTTTAATTCTTCTTTCTTGGCACTAGTGCTCTAGAGCCTATCAATGGGCCATGGCCTCCTTGATCCATTTCCGCCAGTCCTCCCTGTCCAATGCAGCAGCCTTCCACTTCTGGGCATTAAATAGATTTCTGAAATCCTCACTTACCCCATCCAACCATTGCATCTTAGAGGGTCCTACTCTTCTTGTACGCTGTACCATCTCCATCTGTCATTCTAGCCATAGGCCTTGCCTAGAGTAGCCTACTCAGATTTATCACCCTAGCAAAATATGGAGTCTGAAATAAATTAATATTTTAATTTTTTTTTAAAATTATTAATGTAATAAAAATTGTTATAACCTAAAAAACATGTTTTTAATCTTACATCAGTCAAAAATTAATTATAAATAATAAATAAAACATTAATATAGTATACTTATTCATATGAGGCTACATAATACTAAATAAATACTGTCATTGTGGTTGTCATTATTATTATTACTGTATACCAAATAATTTGTGTCTTTTCTGTACTGGGTATGATCTTTCAAAAATCACTAATTACATATCGGAAAAAGGAAAATACAGTAAATTTGTCCATAGTAATTTATTTCTCTGATTTATTTCTCTATTTAAAAAAGAATTCTTTGTAACCTCTTGTAATGATAAATAAGTTTACAGCTAATTTATTTTCCATATGGTCTATTCAATAATAATCAAATTTGTTTTTTATTTTGATATTCAAGGAATCTTTGTCCCCCTCTTCAGCAATCTAAAATAATACAATTAATATATTATATCATGAAAAAATCACTATTAACTAAAAAATACATGAAATTTTAAACGATTTTTGTCTAAATAAATATAAATTATTTTATAATATCTGTTAAAATCATAATTGAATTTCATTTTATGCCTCAAAAATTGGGTAAGTCACAGTATTTCAATAAGATTGGCTAATGGCTATTATTCAACTAAAAGGATTAAAGTCTATTTAGGGTTGTAAGTGGGAGGGGGAAGAGGGTTAAAAGATTAAATATATTACTTTATAACTTGGTTCCAAGTATTATGAATAAGCTTCAATCTTCTTTTATATTAAGTGTTTGTTCTAGATATTGATTTTATAAATCGATTTTATTTTATTTTTATTGTATTCCTTTCTTTGTCTAATATTTTTACATTGTTAAAACTGTCCTCATGAATATATGTTTATTTTGTAGTATGTGAGTACTTAAAACAATATGGTTTCTATTGTATTTTATGTTGATTTATTCTTTTTTGTTTTTAAATTTCATATTATGTATAATTTTTTACATGAGCATTGTGATTGATATATATTATTATTTGTATCCATTATTTGAGTTTTATCATTTATTTTACTAAAGTGGTTTGATGTTATATTTTTATATTTCCAGGATATTTTTTAATTTATTAAAACATTCTACAATTTATTCAATATCATTGAAATAAGCAATTAGAAAATTAATTTAAACACTTAAAGCCCACTTTTGGTTGTTATAAGCTGTCGGTTATAACCTGCCTAGCATCTATATTAATGCCTGGTGACGATAATAGACCTATTACAAAGTTTTTTACTCCTAGCAATAAAAGACAGAGAAGTAAATCTTCACCGGAATTTAAAGTACAAGAAAAAGAACTAAAAAGATCTAAAACCACAATAGCGGATTTACAAAAAATTAATAGTGACACACATAGAATCCTCCTAAATGAAATCTCAGAACTGCTAGGCAAATAGCTAAATGAAAGTCTGGCAACAAAATCGGACATAAATGAACTGGAGAATAAGATAAAAGGTTATGTCCTCGAAAATATCAGCCTCAAGCAAGAGATAATAGCCATCCCCAAAGAAAATGCAGAAATGAAATTGAAAATAGAAAATTTAGAAAAAAAATTCAGGGAGAAAAATTTGATATTTAAAGGTCTGAATATTGAAAGTAAAAAGAAGCCACCATTGCAATAAAAGATTTATGTAAAAATGTATTAAAAGTAGAAGACACTAAAATTAATGATATATATATATATATATTAGGATCACCTAAATTCAATAATAGATAGGCCGCTGATGGTGGAGTTCCAAATGAAGACTGATGTGAAAAACATATTATACAATACGAGAAATTTGAAGAACCTTGGTATTAACATTTATCGAGACCTTACCGCGAGCAGTAGAATAAAACAGTCCAAATTGCTTTTATTAAGAAGAGAAATTAGGAGTGGTATAGGAAACAAGGACTGTAAAATCCACATAAGAGGAGATAAACTTTTATTTAATGGTAAAATTTTTATGTGGTTGTAATCGGTACCTTGCTTCACGAAGGTGCAGAGGCTTTGAGATCACTGGAGGCACTGATTGGTCTGGAATTATCTCAGCTGGTAGGTCATCTACGCAGTGGCAGAGGATTACCCGATGACAACAAGCAACATTCAGTGGTATATAAACAAGACTGAGAAGAGTTCATCCATCGAGGTTTAAACCATGATTTAGTTAAGGATAAATTTAATTTTAGTTCTAATATGTTTAATATTTTGTTTTATAATGTTAAGGGCCTTGTAAGTAAGAAGCATGAATATTATTTTTAAGATTTTTTAAATGATTTTGATATAATATTTTTAGCTGAGACATTTGTTTTGAGGGAGGCGACATCGATGTATGAAAATTTATTCAGCAATTTTGAAGTGCTTTGGTTGCCCGCTATAAAAAAACGTAAGTATGGGAGAGGTAGCGGTGGCTTGCTTTGTGGAATCAAATCTAAATTATATCCTGAAATAGCTGAGTTTGAAATTATCGGAAATTTTGTTTATGTAAAAATTAAAAACAGGGATGGGACCATTTTGTTAATACCTTTGTATCAAAATTGTAACTTTTGTGAAAATTATTTTCTTCAGTTGGTAGAAATATTTATATGAGGACAGCTTGGTAAAGTATTTCTTATTGGGGACTGTAACGTGCATACAGAGAATTTACAAATATTAAGTAGTGAGATTATCGAAACTGAATTGATAAATATAAATAGGAATTCGGATGATAGAAAAGTGGATGGGAAAGGGCGTAAATTTGTTGAGTTCTTCTGAAAAAAAAATTTATATCTTTGCCACCAAAACTAAAATGGGATGAAAAAAAGAAAGATATATATAGGATAAAATTAGAAAAAATATCAGAAAACCTGAATATCTATACCGAAAACCCGGAAAAAAATCTAGAAAATCTGATTAGTTCTATACAAACGCTTCTCCAAAACTAACAGAAAATAAATGTGGAGTTGCTCGCAATCATTGGTTTGATTGGGAATGTGCACGAGCAAGATTGAGATTATTCGCGCTTTTAAAATTATTCAGAAAAAGCAAATCACTTAAAATAAAAAAAAATTATTTGATTGCCAATGCAAAATTTAAAGCAATTTGTATATATGAAAAAATGGATATTTTACTAAAATAATAACAAAACTAAATGAGACAAAAGATTCAAGCGATATCTAGAAGACAATTGTGTTCTTTAGGCAGCGTAAGTTTGTTAGTGGACCTCAAATAAAATCACAAGAAATGGTGACTCATTTTGCTCAACTACTGACCTCTCCTCCTTGTCCTGACCCGATAGCGTATGCGGAGATTTTGATTGAATGTGAACACATGGAAAATAAAATTACTATTGAGGAAACAATGGCAGTGATTTACAAATGTAAAAATAATAAAACACCAAGGATGGATCGCATAAGTTATGAGTTTTATAAAAATGCGACCCCGAGCTTCCTCGAAAAGATAATTCAAGTATTCAACAGTATATTTGAGAATGAAAAAGTACCTAGATGTTTTAAAGAATCTATTAAATTACCTATATTTAAAAAAGGAGATTTAAATAATGTTCACAATTACAGAGGTATATCACTCCAAAACAGCATTTCAAAAATATTTACCGGAATATTACTCATCAGAATGTCAAAATGGGCGTCAGATAATAATGTTATGCATGAAAAATCAAGCTGGATTCAGGCCAGGATACTCCACTCACGATACCTGTTTATTCTGTTCGGAATAATAAGTTGTAAATTTTATAATGATCAGCCTATTTATTTATTTTTTGTTGATTTTAAGGCGGCGTTTGACAAGATAGACCGAGAATCACTTTTTTATAAATTAAATACTATCCATCTCCCAACAAAAGCCATAAGAATTTTACGAAGCCTGTATGAAACTACAACATTTACAGTATGGACAAAAGATGGACTTTCACGATCTTACAATGCAGAGATAGGCCTAAGGCAAGGTTGCTTGCTTAGCCTGCTTCTTTTCTCTATTTTTATCAATGATTTAGTGGAATGAGTTGCAGGTGGAATACTAATAGGTGGGAAGAAGCTTAATGTGCTCATGTATGCGGATGATGTGGTTTTGATTTTGGACAACCCATTGATATTGCAGGAAATGACAAATAGATTAGAGACTTATTGCAAAATGTGGTGCCTAGAAATCAACCTGGAAAAATCAAAAATAATAATATGTCAAAAAAGGAAATGAAAAACTGATAGGAAATTAAAATGGACATATGATGGGAACCTAATAGACATAGTAGACAATTATAAGTACTTGGGGGTTACTATGACAATTTATCTTTATCAGATCATTTTAGGGAAAAGCTTCGAATAACAAGAAATGCACTTAATATGATGTGGTCTAAGATTATATTAAATAAACGGGTATCTGTTAAACATAAGACATTAATCTTCAACTCTACGGCGAGGGCTATGATATGTTATGGACCACAGTTTTGGGGCTACCAAGAATTCGAGGAGATTGAAAAACAACAGAGGTATTTTCTAAAAAAGATGATTGGGCTCCCAGATAATACTCCTAGCTACATGGTATATCTCGAAACGGAATCTGATAATTTGTGTATTTATACTTTAAAATTGCACATCGAGTATATAATAAAAGTGTTGGAAATGGATCACCAACGACTCCTGCATGTCGTAGCTAAATTAGTCATCGAATAATA